CGTTTTAGGTAGGTGTGGCTGACTCTTAACTTTTATAAAGAATATCTCTTTGGATTTGAGATTTTAGTCTTTGCAACTTTACAGATCTTCTTTATGCACCAAGAGCTTGTAACACTCCAAAGAGAAAGGAAAAATTGAAATTGCATCATATGACCCCTTTAATACATGTCATTTATCACATGACTTAAAAAATGTTTAAGATATTAAAACTGAAGACACATGGGACAAATATAGATATTTCTAAAGTTATAGCAGCTGGTATGTGGTTTTATGCTCATTTAATAGGCCAGCATGTAGTGTTCAGGATAACAAAATTTTCATTATTTCCAAAAAAAAAAAAAAATGTTATGCAAAAAGGCTTTTTGCACACTGATAAAATGTATTCACTCTCAGAAAAAAGGTACAAAAGTTGTCACTGGCAGAATCTTTTCAAAAGGTACACTTCTGTACTTTTTTACCCCTAAAGGGTGCATATTAGTACCTTAAAGATACATATTAATGCCTAAAATGTACATATTAGTACCTAAAGGTACATATTAATACCTTTTGAAAGATGACAGTGCCCCATTCAGATAAAAGCATCTGCTAAATGCATAAATGTAAATGCTCACACGAGGACTTTTTGTAGTCATTTTGGGATATTCTTTGACCATTAAGTGTAAATGGACTCCCATTAGGTGAAATTGAGACCACTTGACAATTTGACAAGTGTGGTGGTGGTTTTTTGAAAACACTGTTTAAATTTCAAAGGTCCATTAAGAGCATGCAGTACAAAGCATTTGTTTTGATAAATAATGCTGAAAGCAGTACTGATTATATTCAAAAAGTGTTTATTTCTATGTGACTATGTTTGCACAATTAACATACAGTGTCACTATATATTAGAAGAAGAAAAAAATTCACATCCTTCATAAGAAGAAACTATAACATTTGCATTTCAAACATTGCAAATAATTACTTTGTCTTTGACTCCACAGGAGTTAAACATATATTCATTGACTCTTCATTGCGAAGTTTCTGTCCATCCATTAGGAAAACTATAGAGGTGTTACAATAATAATATAATAATATTATGATATTATATATTAAATAATAATATTATATTAATAATAATATAATATAATCACCTGTAGAAAATTAGACTTTCACATTGTGAAACCCATTTCCATCCATAAACTAAGTAGAAGTGCCATAAAAAGACATTCTTTCAAGAAATTAAGTGAAATGCTGCGGCGCCCGGGGAGCAGTTTGGGACAAGCGGCCGTGCTCAAGGGTCTCACCTCAGTCGTGGTATTGAAGGTGGAGAGAGCGCTGGATATTCACTCCCCCCACCTACAATCCCTGCGGGTGCTGAGACTCGAACCCACGAACTTCAGGTTACAAGTCTGACTCTCTATCCATTTAGGCCACGACTGCCCCCAGTTTTAACATTCATAGAAATGTTTTTTTAATTATATTAAAAATGAAAATGAACTTAGAGAAGGAAGCATCTCCTACAACATAAGAGATGGTAAAACCACCATCTAGTTTTTCTGTGGAAGTCTTTCATCGTCTACCAGGGTCTCCAGAGAGGTCTGTGAGCACATGGTTCCTGCTTCACCTTGGTGGGCTGATGGGAAGCTGGGGACACGTGAGTGAGGTCTTTAGATGATCTCTGGGCTTCTTGGCAGTGGTTCAGATGCTGACGTACAGCGTCCACCTTGGTGTTTCCAGATAAGAAGCTCATGGTCTTCCTCCAACACTGGGAATAGCCGTCAAAGTGGGCTTTCTGTGGAGCCGAGGTCTTGGGCTGCAGCTGCTGTTTCAGAAAAACCACCGTCATCTCCAGGATGTCGGCTTTCTCCAGCTTGGTGTTTGGATCCTGCTGGTGGAATTCCTTCTCCAGCATGGATTTGAGCTGCTCGATGCAGTTGTTGATGCGATCTCGGCGCATCTTTTCCACCACTGGTTTTCTCAACTGTTGAGGAAGGAGACAATCGGTTAGTTGTTTGCTTCAAAATTCATAGCAGAACAAAAGAGAGATGTTGAGAAACAACTGCATTTCAAGTGTCAAAAATACTTACTTTATGCTTTTCCTTGTTGGAAAGTTTAGAGTAGTCAGTCTTGTAGGTTGGAGCCATTCTTTCAGATGGAGAGAACTTTCTCTGAGGAGAGCGAGTCAGTTGTGTTGGGAATGAGGGTTGTGCTCCTCTATTTATAGGAGCTCATTAGCATTACAAAGCCATGAGTCCCAGTCAGGATTAGCTTTCCCACACGAGGCCAGTGGGTGAGGCGTCCTCCACAAATCAAATCAAACACTGGCAGTGCAAATCCCACAGGACTTGCATTTACCTTATCTAGTTCCAATTAATCAATAGGTCAATCAGTCTTTCAATAACCAAACTAAGTGTTTAATGATATAAATATGTGATGAAACTAAAGATTTGCATGCACTTTTTTATCTACACGTGATGAAAACATTTTCTTGGCTAACACAATCCAATGCTGGGAATTAAATATTCTCCTTCCACCATGTCAGCTTCTGGCCATAATCATGGCGAGAGCACATGGTTTTCCAAAAAGCCAGGTCATTCAAAAGTAAAAATAAGATGTTTAAGTTTTTTTTTTTTTTCTAAAAACCTTAAGACTAAATATGGATCTAAACTTTGTTAAAAACCTTTTTCAAAATATATTAATAATTGTAATATTGTTGTAAATATTCATATTTCATTTTTAGTGAAACTAATAAAAAAAGAAAAAGAAGAAATATTCACATTATTTCAGGAGTTATTATACTATTCCCCAAGTCAATGTAGATTATTTATTAAAAATATTAATAAATAAATAAACAACAACAATAATAATAAATACATAACATATGTTACTAATAAATGTTTTGATTTGGCAGTTAATCAGATTATGTCAATGATTTCTATCAGGAAGACCAAATTCTCTTTAAGTCAAATTGAAATGTGGAATCTGAATTAAAAATGTCAACTTAAACTTTTTCAGATAATCGGCTAAAAAGAAATGTAAACATTAAATGAACTCAAGCATGAGCAGATTACATTGTTAAAATCACATCCAAAATTCACTTTGAAAAATCAGCATTCCTCTATAACACAGATCAGCGCAATAAACTGTAACCTGAGGCTGGGGAAGTCCGTTTTCACTGGAGCAATAACACCTCAGGATCAAAGACTCTCTGTCTGAAGCGTGTCTGAGTCGTTTTATTGCCTCACACCGACTTGTTGGTCTTGTCAGCACTACTGGACTTCTAAGCGGGTGTCAGGCACACTTTAGTGGCCCGTGCTGGAGAGGAAGGAAGCTCGTGTGCCGTAAAACCGCCGTCTCCACTTTAAAGCCCGCGGCTCCTGCTCGTCTCTGATTGGCAGGCAAATAACTCTTACCTCAGCTATAAATAGAGCGTTCCGCTCGACTTCACATGACAAGGAGAGGATTTTACACACTTTTTCATTAAATCATCACAAAATGGCACTGGTCAGTCAATACCAAGGCCGTGAGAGCATATCATGTCCTAAGAACCACAAAGTAAGCGTAATATGACCTCTCAGATCTCTATTTTATGATTTTACCCCATATCTCACTGTCAAACTTACCGTTTTTCTCTTCTTTCTACGCAGTTTCGAACGATTCTTGTGGAAAAAACACGGAGAGACAGAATCAACCGCAGTATCGAAAATCTGAGAGAGTTATTTCACAAAACTACACCAATGTCCGAGCGGCAGTTTGTTAGACTTGACAAAGCCGATATTCTGGAGATGACCGTTGATTTTTTAAAACGACGCGCCAAATCCAGCTACGCGCTAGGATTCTCGCAGTGCTTACAGGAGACGCTGCGTCACGTGTCTCTGCACGCACACCTGACGCCCGACAGAGAGGCGATCAAGCGATTCTACGTGCTGCAAAGGACCAATCAGATGCACTTAATGGCCTCCACGGCGCGTGGATTCGTGCGCAGATCACCAAAACGATCATCGTCAAGAGTGCCATTATGGAGACCGTGGAAGATCAACTAATTTAGAGACTATCTGCTTGACATAACGTTTGTTTAGGCGAATTCACTTTGTTGCTTTTTAATGTAACATTTGCATGTTCTTTTCGAGTTAGTGAATTGTCTACAGTGTATGGCAAGCCTAACTTAACGAGAAAATCATGTAATTTGAGTTTTAGTCTCGAATTTAACCATGACTTTTGTAAAGGCGTTTTTGTTATTTAATCCAACTTGTTTTAACATGTTGTAACCGGTATTACTTATTAAACATTTATTGTGTTAAACATGTTCTGCTCATAACTTTCAATACCAGTGAAAAGCAAAAGATGATTGAAGAGCAATTAAATTTATTAGATCCCTAATGAGAAAACAGATGTGTTGCACATTACACGTGCAATGTCAAATACACATGCATATTGATACAATACAATAGAGTCATTGAAAACCTAACAGTTTTCATGACAATACATGCCTTTATGAAAGGAATGAGTAACAAACTTGTTCCTAAAAGGAACTGTTTAAAACGTTATAATCTGACAAGATTTGTCCAAACATGCTCAAACAATGAGAAATAACTATTTATTCAAAGGCTCATTATGAGGTTAAAATTAAATCTAGCTTCAATGTGAAGCACAATTTGAGATCACTTAAAATAAGTAAGTAACCCATCAAAATATATGGGAACTTTCATTCTTTCTATAAACAGAAATGTTTTTAAACACTTGAATCACATGAAGTTGGAAGTACTCAAACAGCTGAATACATGCCTTGCAAATTATACATTCAAGCGCATTACATCTAATGTAAAATAAAGTGAAGCCAAAACTTCACTGTATAATGACATAAATTCCAAACTGGAATTTAATAATCACTTTTCCTCAAAAAGGAAAATTGAAAAATGATCCACTGAGTGTAGTGCAGACGTTCAGTCTGAGTCTTGAAGGCTCTACCAAGGCCTCCAGATGGAGCTCTTGTTGAAGTCTGATTTGCAATGGCTGCAGCTCCTCTATTTATACTCCCAAATCTCCATATGAATGTGTGAGGCTTGAGCTTGTTGGAGTTTCTCACAGTTTGGAGCCAATGGAAGAGCTCAAACAGACAATGAGGGATGTGGACCGCCACATGCTCAATGATCCTCCATCAGGGGCTCAAAGGAGCAGGTGGAGGGAGAATCTGGGAAAGTGTTGAGAACTCATGTTCACATCACTGTCATAAACAAACATGTGCCATACTGAGATTTCATTTTGTTCTAAACGAACACTGCATGCATTTAGAAAAACAGCAACACATCAGTGTTATCAATAAAAATGTGCAAAGCAATGACATTTTAAAAATAATTTAAATGCATATATTCTTTTAGGTGTGTATTTACATATGATTATTTTTTACAGTTTAATTGCTCATGAATAAAATCAGCACATGCGGCTGCAGTTTAAAATCAGTTGAAATGCTGTAATGAAACAGTATTTTATGTAACAGGATATTCTGGTGAAGCAGCTGTTCTATGAGATCTGTGGTTGTACCTGTTCTCAGGCTTGTTACACACACACACACACACACACACACACACAGAGACAGCTGGTTCACGGCATAATGTGGACCCCGATCACACGCCCCAATGCTCCTGGAGCTGGTGGAGCCACAGAGATACACGGCTTCTCACACTTCTGTATTCATCACATTAAATCACTCACACAATAGAAGCGTGTCGGTTCCCACAGGGCTGGACTAACTGGGTTTCTGGAGGGAAGCCTGAAGGATGCTATTCATTTTTATTTTATTTTTTTTTTTAGTTGCTTGCTAAATGTGTTGTGAGCATTTCAGTGATACATTTTATGAATTTCTGTTTTTTTTAATGTTTTGTTTTGTTTTTGTGTGTGTGCTTAGATTGTATTCTATAAAGTGTCTGGCAAAGCAACGTTTTCTAAATAGTTAAAAACAATTTTTTTACAAATTATTCCTATTGTATTTTTTCTTGATTTCAATTAATATTTATTATTGATCATATTAATAATTATTATTGAATATTATTATTTATTATTGAATATTTATTTAAAAAAAGAAATACTTTGTAAAAAAAATGTACACATAGTCATTAAATCTTTTGCATGTCTGTTAATGAATTATAAGCATACAGATACAGTAAATATTTTCCATAAATCCCTTGCTACATATTTGTTTGTAAAAAATATTGGAATGTACTTAAAAAATACAAAAATAACTTTAATCGAAACCTATTTAATTATAATTTATCATTTCAATTTAGATTATTTTTTTTTTTTGTCATTTTTAAATGCCTTCAGAAGCTAATTTAAAAAAGGAAATCTATTTCAAATTAAAAATGTTATTATTATTATACAATTATAAAATATTTACACCCATCTATAAATGTAGTTTGTGATTGAATCATACACATACTGTGAATGTTTCCACAAAAATTCCCATTGCTACATAATTTACATATTTTTATTAATGTGTTTTAGTGATGTATATGAGATGTATATTTTCCCTATGAAATGCCTTCAGAAGCTATACCTTTAAAAAAAAATCTAAATTATTTATATATAATTATTTAACACTGAAAACATTGTCAACATGGATTAAAAATTAAAATACTTTTATTTGTGTTAAAACATTTTACACCCAACTATAAATTTAGTTTACAGCTAAATTATATGCATACAGTAAATATTTCCACAAATCCCCATTGCTAATCCGAGTGTGAGAACAGCGAAATCCTGAGTCCTCATGCCCTCAGTTATTCTCCCATGGCTGACCCTCCAGATGGCACTAGAGAAAAAAAATCCCACCTGTCCACTAAAGAGCTCAATTAAAAGCTCAAGGACCAATGGAAATTATGACAAGACTATTGTTCCATTTTTCTCTGCTCTCTGATTGGCCGGCTGCGGATACATTTTAGTATAAAAGTGGGCTAGATTGAGGGTCTTGTGTGGGATTTGGTTTCACCACTGAAGAAGAGCCAAAGAGATCTTTAAACTCCTGAAACTCAACACCAGCATCAAACATGCCTGCCTACATGGACATCACCCCTCAGGACAACGTTCACTATGCCAGGTAAGAAAGGCATCTAAGCATTTGCAATAGTGTAATTTTACATGCTTCATAAATTTGATCTCATTTATACTTACTCACAAATACACTAAAGATGTTCTCTTCTGGACTGCAGGTGCAAACTCTACAGCTTGGAGAGAAAATGTTTCAGCAAAGTGGAGAAACTCATATCTTCTTTTGAAGACCACCTCCAGCATGGTATTCCCGCATCTGACATTTTGGAGAAGACTGTGTTCTTCTTTAGCTCAAAAAAGGCCTTAATCTTCCCCAGCGGCTACTCCAGGTGTTCTCGCGAAATTCTGCGTCTTTCTCCCGCTCCAGATCAGGATGTGACGCCATTGTTTTAAAGCGAACGTCCATCACAGACTGACCTGCAAATGAAAAGGGTTAACAAGTCAAGCACTTGATGTGATTGCATGTGTTCGCACATCTAACTCAGAGGAAAATAGCACTTTGCTTGTTCTCTCTGGACTTTTTTTTCTCTAAAGGACTCTGATAATGTCACTGCACATTTTGGAAAGGCTCGTAGGGCTTATAAAAGAAGTTGTGCATTGATTGTAATGTACATTATTGTGGTAACCACCAAGCTGAGGATGCATTTTGTGCATTTAGATATAAAATTCTACTGTATTTTGCTCTTGAAGAGAAATTTACTGAATGTTTTTTAAAACCGTTTGACCATGCTCTCTTTTGGAGGACATGCAAAAAAGACCTTTATTTCATTTTTAAAGATACAGTGTATCATTTGGTTATTTTTGTGATGATTTTTAATCATGCTTTTGTTTGTTTCTATAAAATAAATGATTTTTATTGCATTTATATCTTCCTCTGATTTGGTACAATTTAAATATAGGCGGTTAAAAAAAAGAAAAACTTGTCGTATCTACTTAACAAGCTTAGAAAACTTTAAGGTTTCTTTAAAATGCGTAAATTTGGGGGTTATTTTTACTGTCGCTAAAATAGTTAAAGTTGCTGCTTTACGTTATTTGTGACCACTTTGTCATATTTCCTTTTGGTCTCCGATAGTTAAGAGTTGATAAAGAATAAAGTCACCTACATTTTGAGTGCATTCTATTTCAATTTCTTACGTCAGAAAGCAGTGTCATTCAAAATCACTGATTGTTTACAGCTTGGCACGCACAAACTCTAACCTACTAAGCCATACAATTCATTTATATTGTCTATAAAACGAATTGTGAATTGCTTCGAGTTTTATTTACTGTACCTGAAAAATTAGAAAATGTATTTGTTCCCATATTCATTCATCCATCCAACACTACTCAAAACTGTGGCAAGTCACTGTGGCAAGTCAAAACTGTTTCATGGTTGAAATGGTCAACAGTTTCTAACTAATGACCAGTAAAGCAAAATGCCCTGAGGATGTGACGGACAGGTGTGTGAATGAATGAGCAACAGATAGAGAGACACACTTCTATTGTTCAGTCAGCATCCATTCAGAGCCAAGTGTGGAAAACCCCAGGAGCTGTGGTTCTCAGTGCACTTTTATACATGTAATGAGCTGCTGAATGATTTGATGTACACAGAAGCCTTTTAGGTTTTATTTGCAATGCAGAAAAAAATAATACTTTCAATAATAGTTTTTATTTGTGCACATCTAGTCAAGGCATTAATACACTAAATCATACAAATGTAATACAGACGTATGCATTTTTGCAATACTGCATCAACACATTTCTGAAAAAATTAAAGGAATTTTTTTTAAGTAATCCCGTATTTCCATTATTTTACCAGTTTATGCAATGGTATGAAATTTAAAATGTGAAATTAACTGATAGGACGTTTCCCTCCAGATGGTTGCTGACGTCAGGTTGATAACTTACTGACTCCTGCATCAAGTCAGGACATGTCTCTGTGCATCAGGACGTTTCCCTCCAGATGGTTGGTGACGTCAGGTTGAAGTCTTCAGTGTCACTAATGCTCCATTCAGGACTCTGGATGCTTTTGTGCTCCATTGATGTGAACACAGAGAGTCAGTGTGGGAACCTCACATGAGATCTACTCACACTGACCAGCACAAACACACACACATCTGCTTCATCTGGAGACCATCGTGTGTGTGTGACGTCACGGCAGCAATGATAATGCTGAATATCACAAATTATTATATGATTTATAAATTGTAAATTGTTAACGTACTTAATTTTACACACAATTGCATAAGTAAATCCAGTCAATAATGCATGGGATTCTTTTTTTTTTTTGCTTTATAATGTGTACGTGTGTGCGTGTGTATAATACATTTTACAGTGATGTACGCGTGCTCACTGACTCCACGTGTTTCTAGTAATGACGAGCGTGTGCTGCTTCAGTGACATTGATGTGAACATGAGCTCTCTACAGGTCAACACTTTCCCAGATTCACCCTCCACCTGCTCCTTTGAGCCCCTGATGGAGGATCATTGAGCATGTGGCGGTCCACATCCCTCATTGTCTGTTTGAGCTCTTCCATTGGCTCCAAACTGTGAGAAACTCCAACAAGCTCAAGCCTCACACATTCATATGGAGATTTGGGAGTATAAATAGAGGAGCTGCAGCCAGTGCAAATCAGACTCACTCTGAACAGAGAGATCTACAGCACAGAGATCCAGACATGACACCTACAATCATCTCAAAGGAGCAGCTCCCTCTCAACAACAAGGTACATTCATATCCTACTTACAGCAGCATTACTGCAGCAGCTTTCACTGCTCTTCTAAATCATTGGCTTATTTGAAAGACACTTTCCTAATGCTTTTCTGTCTTCATTTGCAGCTGAGAAAGCCAAGGGTGGAGAAGATGCACAGAGATCGTATCAACAGCAGCATCGAGCAGCTCAAGTGTCTTCTGGCTCCAGAGTTCCTCAAGCAGCAGCCTGATACCAAGCTGGAGAAAGCAGATATCCTGGAGATGATGGTCTGTTCAAACACTTCCAGCAGTTGCTGAAATCATCTGATGAATAAGAGCTTCTATTCCTCCATCAGCTGAACTTCAATCTCAACAAAAGCATTTAGCCTGCAGTGCCATCTGGAGGAAAGCAACGTCTTTGGAAAGCATCTGTATTAGATGTCAATAACAACATTTTTGGATTTGATTTTATGAATCCGGTTTTGTTTCCATCACCGGAAATGTATTGTGTTTTTTTAATGCTTTTGTATAGACCTTCAATGAAGGCATATTACATTTATATTATACAATTGCAAATCTTTGCTTTATGTGAAGAACAAATATCCCATATTGGGAACTGGTTTTGAATATATTATCAGTATGATAAACACTCTATTGTCCTCATAGGACATTTAATCTCATCAGAATCACATATAAAGATGGTTCAGTATTTTTTACTGCCATACTCTGTAATTAATTCACTTCTGTTGAGTGTGACGCCTGGGGATGTACATGGACTGATTTATTTTCCTTTAATGGAATATATTAAACCTTGACATTAAGCGCTAAATGTTTCTGTTACGCTTTGCTTTTACCCCTCATGTGGAGGAATGTTAATAATGATTTGTGGCAAATCATTTGTGGTAAATGTCACATGACTTTTGTAAAGTTCAGTAATATTTGATGTGAGTTTCAATATGTGTTTAATGTATTTTGGAGATCTGTTCATGCAGATTTTGTGATATGTTATCACCTGTTTATTTGCATTCATGGTGACATCATGTCATCACAAAACATACAAAATAATAATAATAAAAGTCAAATATACTTTCTGCTGTTGTATTCTGTCTTGTCATGAAATATAATATTTTAAACATGAGCCTAAAGAGAAAAGAATATGCATGTTTACCAGAATAAATATGTAATTTTATATATACAATAAAACATATATGTATGTATGTATACATATATTTATATACATATAAAGCACTTGTATTATTTATATTAAAATTTCTTAATCAATAATTCTTCCACAAGCAAAATTTACCAATTTGTCAAAAAAAAAAAAAACTTGATTGACAAAAAAAAAGCTCTTAATGTACAGCAAGAATTAAAAATGAGGATAGAAAATCAAAAATGTTGTGATTATGCCCTCTTGCATTTCTTTTTGTGAGCATTCTCATCAAAATAGTTTCTAAAATTTAGATAGATATATTCATTTGAATTTTGAATTAGATCCCACTGGTAAATTATGCCAATTAAGTCCTTGGCATTTAATAATTTAATTCTACTATAGTGACTTGAAGTGACAAAATTATATATTTTCTCAAATATTAATCATCCAAATCGTTGTATGACAGGAAACTGTAAACAACCAGATATTTTAATTTCACATATTCATTCTTGGAAAATATGGATTATTTTATCTGCAAAATGTAAAGCGACAGAATGGATTGTCAACTATTTAAATCATGTTGAAAGTGTATCAGATTCCTAATTGATTCATAACGCTTGTGTTAGAGAACCAACTAACAGCCAGTTTGATCAGTTGAAGTCATTTAAACATTTGGAGACGTGTGTCTGCTGTGGGTTTCAGTAGGACACACGTCTATTGTTGTGTAATTGAATTGAGTGAATGAACAGAGCGTGAGAAACAGAACTCACTCAGAGTCCCTCCGAGACAACAGAACTCAACTAAGAGACCAAAGGTCAGAGGTCAACATCAATGGATTGGGCTATAACTTTATACTATTTCAGCTTCAACCACTGGTGATAAGTCTAAAATGAAAAGAACTGAATCAAATGTTTCATTTTAAGAAATTAATCTTCAGATTTCTGTAAAAATTTATGTTTATTTGAGCAAATCTTCAGCATCAGAGGCGTGAGAAAGCTTGTAGGGAATCTGTCCTGCATTAAGGCTCATTATCATGTGAATAGACACACTTCTATTGTTGTGTGTGTGGGAAACTCTGGAGAACAGAGTCACAGTTCTAGTCTCATTAGCATCCTAAACCCCAACACAAGCTCAAGATTTGACAAACACACACTTATGGATATTTACATACATGCATGAGCTTGACCAGCTGGTTTGAGGATGTCATCAGCGGCGTGAACAGAATTCCAGCACTATCTCGGTTTATTTTCCTGAATGCATCGTGAACTTTTAACTGACTAAGCTTTTGCATCAGGCGCTTAAGATACTTTTGTCATCTTAACAAACATGTCTCACAAATGTGACTAAAATCGTATTTGCTGCTAAAACAGCAAACAAAAGTGATGTTTTGCATATATTCGATAACAAATTTAATATGCATTTTTTTTTTGCATATTCTCGTTGCATGAGAATAATTGTGATCAGAAAGTGTTTGATGACTCTCTGGCTCCTGCATCAAGTCAGGACATGTCTCTGTGCATCAGGACGTTTCCCTCCAGATGGTTGGTGACGTCAGGTTGAAGTCTTCAGTGTCACTAATGCTCCATTCAGGACTCTGGATGCTTTTGTGCTCCATTGATGTGAACACAGAGAGTCAGTGTGGGAACCTCACATGAGATCTACTCACACTGACCAGCACAAACACACACACACACATCTGGAGTCCTGGAGTCTCAGACAATGGAGACAATGACATCTGAATTCCAGTGCACAACTCCAAACCTTTAGATACAAATGCATTCATATACACACGTTGAAAAATAAATTTTATGGCAATGCACTGTGTATTGAAATATTTAGAGCACTGTTTATTGTCAGTGTAAGTGCAACACATATATGGCCAACTAAAAGTAGGTGACCATATTCGTTCATTCAGTCATTCACAAACAAATAAATAATTCCCATTTTGGCTTTCTTATAGTTGACACTTAATATCAGGCAACATTATTGACTTGAATGTACTGACACTATTGGATGAGAACTAAACTGAGCTGAGCTGAACATCACTGATTTGCAGAGCTGTTCTATAGATAAATGTAACTTATATGAACATATTGTCACACTGTTATTAAACTGAACTCAGTCAACAATGAACCGACATTAACTGAAAAATGTACTAACTGTTTGCTATTGTCCTCTTTTTTAGAGCTAAAGCAGAATTGAATCTTGTTTGCATCACTGAAACATTATTTTCCTGTTTAACACTGTGAATGAATGAATGAATAAATGAATGAATTAATAAATAAATAAATATTATTGAATATTTTAATACAATTACATATTTGTATATATTTTTTCTTTGTTTAATAAGATGGATAAAATAGCTATTTGATGCTGTCTTTCACACTTGTGTATAATGTTGATGAGCGTGTGCTGCTTCAGTGACATTGATGTGAACATGAGCTCTCTACAGGTCAACACTTTCCCAGATCTTCTAAAGCATTGGCTTATTTGAAAGACACTTTCCTAATGCTTTTCTGTCTTCATTTGCAGCTGAGAAAGCCAAGGGTGGAGAAGATGCGCAGAGATCGTATCAACAGCAGCATCGAGCAGCTCAAGTGTCTTCTGGCTCCAGAGTTCCTCAAGCAGCAGCCTGATACCAAGCTGGAGAAAGCAGATATCCTGGAGATGACACTCAACTTCTTCAGGATCAACAGGAGGGAAAGTGTCCTGCCAGACCAGAACACCTTCGGCAAAGAGATGAATGTCAATATGAGCACCATCTGGAGGCCTTGGTAGAGCCTTAAATACTGAATGTCTGCACTAGATTTAGTGGACTATTACACTTTCATTTTGTCATTTTGAAAAGAAAGTGTTTAATGAGTTCCTGTTTGGAAGATATTTGTACTGCTAAGTGCTCTGATGATTCAATCTTCTATGAAGATTTTTCTCTTTTTGAGAAAATGTCATTTAACTATTTTTTTAGTTAAATTACCATGATGGCACACTGTGTTTTAGCAGTGTGTATTAGTCTAAAAGTGCATTAAATAGCATTTTTCATATCCTTTGGGTGTAATTTTTCACCTTTGAGGGGATGCATTACGTGACCGTAAAGTCAAATCAGCTTTTTTTTGTTTCATGTTGAAACATATTTCATTTTTTTTGCAACTGGCGAAAAGCATTTATTGATCTTTTTTTTTTTTATCATATTTGTTGTTTTGAAAAATGATGCCTATATGAGGATGTCTTAATTTGGCCTTATAATAAGTCTTAAAATTTCTTTCAAATTTGAAAGATTATCAGAATGATCTAATCTGAACAACATGTTACTCGTGTTTTGTAAGTGTGGCCAAGAGTTGGTCAGTATTTGTAATTAATATTGATGATTGTTTTCAATCTTATTGAGATTTATATGAAACCCAACTGGGCTTGTATTTGTGTTTCTGAGGAAATAATATGCAGTTTGTATCTGAAAAGATCATGGATTTATTTTTCAAGAGGTTATACCTCATCTTTCTGTCAGTACCATGTACTGTGCTTTTGAACTGCCTTTTATAAGGGTATTTATTTCTTAAACCATTGTGAAATTGTTTTCACTGTGTAAGTGAAATGTTGTTTCCTTATGTGAAGGAATTCATTTTAAAATATGAAACACAAAGGCCATTGAATGTATTTCAATCAGTCTGTGGCGAAATAAAACAATCAAAAGAAGTGCTTTTTTCTGTTTTCATTATGCATTCATGATTTGGTTATCACAAGCATTAATTATTCCTGGGGTTTGCTTATCAGGCTGCTCATGACATTCCTGAGTTGTTTTTAATGAGTAAAGAGTTAAAATATCCCCTTTTGTAATATTTCTAAAAATATAATTGCTTTTGCTGAAAATGTACACCACCTCAGGTTATCCAAGATATAGATGCGTTTGTTTCTTAATAGAAACAGATTTGAAGAAATGTAGCATTACATGACTTGCTCACCAATGGATCCTATGCAGTGAATGGGTGCCGTCAGATTCTTTTTGTCATTTTCAAAACAAAGAAAAGTGTTCCAACATGAAACAAACAATAGAGCTGCTTTGACTTTTTTTTTTTCACATATTACATCACTTCCAAGGTGAAAATTATACCCAAATGATATGAAAAATGCAGTTTAATGCACTTGTAAACTAATAAGTCTAAGGACCTGCAGAAAAAAATGCCATTATGGCATTTGCAATGCAAGTTATATTTCAAACTAAAGGACATTTTCTCAAAAATAGAAAAGATAAGTCTTCATAGAAGATTGAATCAGAATATTTCCTGCACAGCCCACTTTTTTTTTTTTTCCTCAAAAAGAGAAACTGAAAGCGTAATAGTCTAATGTAGATATTCAGCATGTGCTGCTGGTTGCTGTAAGGCTCCAGCAAAGGCCTCCAGATGGAGCTCTTGTTGACATTCATCTCTTTGCTGAAGGTGTTCTGGTCTGGCAGGACACTTTCCCTCCTGTTCTGCTCACATGAAGTCTGCAGCTTCTGGAAGTGCTTCAGCAGAAGAAGCCTTGATTGACAGCATGTGAACTGCGGTTGTAGCGTTGCAGGACGTTGAGCGTCATCTCCAGGATATCTGCTTTCTCCAGCTTGGTATCAGGCTGCTGCTTGAGGAACTCTGGAGCCAGAAGACACTTGAGCTGCTCGATGCTGCTGTTGATACGATCTCTGCGCATCTTCTCCACCCTTGGCTTACTCAGCTGCAAATGAAGACAGAAAAGCATGAGGAAAGTGTCTTTCAAATAAGCCAATGATTTAGAAGAGCAGTGAAAGCTGCTGCAGTAATGCTGCTGTAAGTAGGATGTGAATGTACCTTGTTGTTGAGAGGGAGCTGCTCCTTTGAGATGATTGTAGGTGTCATGTCTGGATCTCTGTGCTGTAGATCTCTCTGTTCAGAGTGAGTCTGATTTGCACTGGCTGCAGCTCCTCTATTTATACTCCCAAATCTCCATATGAATGTGTGAGGCTTGAGCTTGTTGGAGTTTCTCACAGTTTGGAGCCAATGGAAGAGCTCAAACAGACAATAAGGGATGTGGACCGCCACATGCTCAATGAAACACAGCTGCATTCTAAGAGATCTTTAAACTGACTGCAGTCACACACTCCTGGAGCTGGTGGAGTCACAGAAACACACGGCTTCCCACACTTCTGTATTCATCACATTAAATCACTCAAACAATAGAAGTGTGTCGGTTCCCACAGGACTAACAGTTCCCAAAGACTAAATCTTTTGTGCTGTATTTTGCACTATACATGTTTAGATGGACTATTATTAAAAACAAACAAACAAACAAACAAAAAACATTAAATTAAAAACATAATAATAATCATAATAATTATAAATGAAGAGTTCAAGATATAAGTCCAAGATTTAAGATATATCCAAGTGCAATATCAAACGTGACAGAACTTTAACAATCACAGAATTTTTCAAAGAATGAAAAATATTTCTGAGGCAAAATAAAAATAGTAACAATTTCTTTTATAAAATCAAATTCAGAATAAAAATGTTAATCAAAACAAATCAAGATTAATAAATTAATAAGATTATAATACATTATTAAATAAATCACTGGTTCATTCAAAGAAAGTCTATACCAAAGATGAAAATGAGTATTTAAGAATACATTAAAGAAAATACTATTTTGTTTATATACTGTATGTGGTCTAATCTCAAAGTTATTGTATTAAGATCCAGAATAAAAACTTTCAGCATAAAACTTTCAGCTATTAGATAAGTGTTTATGTATTATTGATTATTGACAAGGATTAGAGACATTGGTAAACTTTATTTATTTATTTAGTTTTTATTTATTTATTACATTTTTTTGCACAGAAGCACTAAGTAATTTTGAATGCCATGGGAAACACATGTACGTTAAAACTACTTTAAATCAGGATTTAATTTGTCTGTCTAATTATCATGTGAATAGACACACTTCTATTGTTGTGTGTGTGGGAAACTCTGGAGAACAGAGTCACAGTTCTAGTCTCGTTAGCATCCTAAACCCCAACACAAGCTCAAGATTTGACAAACACACACTTATGGATATTTACATACATGCATGAGCTTGACCAGCTGGTTTGAGGATGTCATCAGCGGCGTGAACAGAATTCCAGCACTATCTCGGTTTATTTTCCTGAATGCATCGTGAACTTTTAACTGACTAAGCTTTTGCATCAGGCGCTTAGGATACTTTTGTCATCTTGACAAACATGTCTCACAAATGTGACTAAAATCGTATTTGCTGCTAAAACAGCAAACAAAAGTGATGTTTTGCATATATTCGATAACAAATTTAATATGCATTTTTTTTTGCATATTCTCATTGCATGAGAATAATTGTGATCAGAAAGTGTTTGATGACTCTCTGGCTCCTGCATCAAGTCAGGACATGTCTCTGTGCATCAGGACGTTTCCCTCCAGATGGTTGGTGACGTCAGGTTGAAGTCTTCAGTGTCACTAATGCTCCATTCAGGACTCTGGATGCTTTTGTGCTCCATTGATGTGAACACAGAGAGTCAGTGTGGGAACCTCACATAAGATCTACTCACACTGACCAGCACAAACACACACACACACATCTGGAGTCCTGGAGTCTCAGACAATGGAAACAATGACATCTGAATTCCAGTGCACAACTCCAAACCTTTAGATACAAATGCATTTATATACACACATCTAGAAAAAAATTTTTTTATTAAATCACACTTTTCATTTAAATTGCAGGAGCCCCGCTTTCTGTCAGTATACTGTTTTTTTCGGACAAGACAAATGAAATCAACTGTGGGAACCTCTTGAGATCTTCTCATATACTAGAGATGGATGATTTTAAAGCACTTTAATGTGAAGCTTCAAAAACATTTGTGAATCTTTTATTTCAAAGAAGTGGCTCACATAATGTATCACACAAAATCAAAAACATTTTCACAAAATGGAAAAGATATGTAATTGGTTTGTAAAAAGAGTAAAAAGTATGCATGTATGGGATGAGTTTTTTCCACACTGTTTTACTGTCTCAAGCGTTTCAAAAAGTCAATCATTTTGCAAAGCAATTGTTTCAGTTGATTCAGTTTTGAAAAGCTCTGTTTATTGATTATGTACATATATAACACGCAGAAAGTCAATTTAATGTTACATATATTACATATGCACCCACAGTCTTTCTTCATGAATATTCTGTATTTTCACGAATTCTCTGTAAAAACTGAACTCCTCAAATTCAAAATTGCTTTATTGGCATGACTGTAAAGGAAACAATATTGCCAAAGCTTGGTATACATGTACAAAAAGATAAAAAAAATAATACTATAATAACAATAATAATAATAAAATAAACATCACAGTAATATAATGGAATATTATAACATCTTAGAAGTATTAAACTGTAACAAATTAAAACGTTCAGCTGCTGTCTCTCTCTCTCTCACACACACACACACACACACACACACATTCAGCTGCTGTCTCTCAGGCTGTGGCACATCCACATGTATCTCGCAGCAAGTGCTGCTGTCTGTCCCTCTCCTAATAGTATCTTTATTTGTTCTGTTTCACTGATGGCTGTAAAGTTCTTTATTAAGTTGGTGAAATTGTTGAAGTAGAGGTTTCTTATGAATATGTATTTATGACAGTGAAGGAGGAATTGCGTCTCTGTCTCAGTCTCTCCTGTCTCACAGTGAGCACACACTCTTGCTCTCTGGGTAACCAGCTCTTTCTGTGTCTGCCGGTCTCGAGGGCTAGACTGTGCTCACTGAGCCTGTACTTGGT